TTGCATTTTCTGACAGAATTGCAAGGGTAACAATATTTTTGGTCATGACTGTAGATATAATTTTTGGTAGAAGTCTACATACGTATAATCAATACAATACATAAACATTATTGTTTCTGGTCATAGGCCTTTACAATGTAATATATAAAATCCAATTAAAAACAATTGCCATAAAACCAATAAAACCCGGTCTAAAAATATTGTCATGACATATGTCAGTCCAGTGTATACAGCATTTATGTGGCATTATGATCCTTGACAAATCAAAATCTCAGCTTCTTAGCTGCCAGTGCAAATTGTGCTACATCATATGTAATGTACAACTATGTATCAGCAAGCAATCCAAATACTATTTCAGTGGTGGTACAATTAAGATACATCTGAGTGATAGGTGACATAAATCTTTCTCTAGCAATTTTATAGAGAGGACAAAACAGTAAGTAGCAAGTTAAATCCTCAATCTGGTTGCAGCCAAAAACACATACATATAATAAATTCATACTGTCTTATCTCTTTCTGCAAGAGATTTATGCAAATTCAGCTGCCACGTGGACTGCCCATGTTGTACCTTACCTTAAGTCTGGTATTCTCAAAGTGTGAGGCAGACTTCACCTAGGGATGGGGGGCGGGAACCAATAGCAAGTTAAATATTCAAGACAAGACATAGAATTCTGAAGCATGCGGTGTCATCCATTCTCAATAGCTGGATCCAGGTGGATTTAATGCCCACTGACAGAAGGGTTCTGTTGTGTTCTATGCCTTGTGCTCACACACAAACACATAGTGAAAAAACTACCTTCACAAGCTACATATTCTCTCCTTGCATACATTTCTATCACACATTGAACATTACATCTAAGCTGTAGTTTCTGTGATAAAATACATAGTTCTGACAAATTCATCTATTATCAAGTCCTGACCATGAGAAACTGGATCTCTGGGCTCTCAGAAAGAATTTTAAATTTAAAATATGCAGTAAGGCAGCCAGGAATTTTAGGAAACATTTTCTAGGCTGGGGAAGCTTTCAGTTTTCAGAGGCAGTAAACAGCATAGTTAAGTTTCTTTCTGGCTGACAGAACTGAGAGATTGCCGTTGGCAAGAATCATAGGAAAAATTGTGTAATGCATCAATAAAAATGTTTCTAAGCAATAATAAGGCAGTCCTGTAAGAGCTAAACTACACCTTACACATAGATTCTTTTTGTAGAAAAAATAACTCCAGGAGTTGGCAATTTGGCATAGAGAAATGAGAACTCTATAACCCTTTTCCTTATATTTCTTTTGTTCCTACTCCTTCCCTTCCTCGTTGTGTTTCTTTGCACATACATGCCATGTCACAGGCAGGAAAAATGCTTCATGACAGGAAGTTCGAACAGGCCCAAAAACAGTTAAGCAATTTGTAAGAAGCAGTTGTTTCCATGGAACTATTTCTCTACCAGAAATTGTCCTGTAGAACTCCGGGAGGCAGTGGAAGACAGGAGGGCCTGGCGTGCTCTGGTCCATGGGGGTCACAAAGAGTCGGACATGACTTAACAACTAAACAACAACAACAAGTCGACTTATTTCAAGAAAAATACACCACAATGGAGTTTTTAAAAAGATGTTTGTGTTTAATATGTAGCTCAGTATGCACAGTAGTATATTTTATTATGGGACAGGGTGGAAAACCTTCCTCATTTAAACAATCCATGCCTTATAAACCAGTTTTCCTATGCTGAATTATGGCAACAGGGAACAGAATCATGTGCTAGCATCCCAAAGATTTGATATTTTGGTAGACTTCATTCTCTTTGTCTTCATGTCAGGAGTTGACTTTGCCCTTTGCCTACAGACCTTCAAGAGCTATACTCAGTGCAGAGGTAGTGACTGTTGACATCTAATATAGGACGCAAGTGCACTGAGGAAAAACTATTTCACTCTGAGGAGCAAGGGTTTTGTAGGAAATGGAAGACTGCCACAATGCATATTTATTTGATAGTTATGTTCACGTCCTTTTAACAAGCTCAATACAACATTTCATAAGGGCTTTTCCCCTAACATCATCTAGTTATTCAGCCCAGGGAACTATTCAGCCTGGCTTACTTGACATAGGATAGTGGCATAAGTGTTATGGCACAGGTAGAGGCATATGCAGTTAACAAATGAGGGGGGAAATCAGTCATGTCTGAAAGGATTGCATATTCTGGCCCACATATCAAATCATAGTATATAATTAATGGCGAAGTTCCAGTCTGCTTTAATAAGTCCAGTGAATTGAACAGCTCTTGGTGTCCTAATAATATTTTACAGTTGCTGCTGCAAGCAAAACTGGAACTGACATCTATAGAGGAGGATGCATCCTACTCCTGCAAGTCAGGAGTAAAGGTATGTGTCAGTTGCAGTTGAATCTGCTGCCACTGTCAGTCATAACCAACTGCTCCTAGCAGTGCATAAAAAACAAGCAGTAACAGATCTTCCCGATTTGCAACTGATCCTTTAATCTGAAGAACCAGGACACATCTTCCCATCTGTAATCGCTTAAAGCCTTTTAACTTGTGTCACCATTGTGCTGCCGTACTAGGTTGGTATTATGAGGTTATTGTAAGTACCTTCAGTAGAACAGACTGCTTTGTGGCTGCAGATACACATTATTCATCCCATAAAATATTACCATTAGTTGCCTTTACAGAATAATTTTTTGCTGTTCATTTCTGTATTTTTTTTACCACCGATGGGCAGTTAGAGTCTATTCAGCATGTTACTATCTCATTGGAACAATCAAAAGGAAGTATTTCCATATTGATGATTCCTAATGGAACTAATCTTTTTTTTCCCCTGTTAATGTCATTTAGCAGTAACTGAGTTCCAATCTATGAATTTATGCTCGTATCCAACCTCTGTGAATAAAAAAATAAAAATGTTCAGCTGCTGAACAACACACTATTATATGTGTACTGAGAATTTTCACCTAAGAACAGTGGATCATCTTGCATGTGCTATTAAGCTACCACTTGTTTCTCCCCCATCAGTTCCACCACTGGCAGTGCAAACTTTATTTAGTGTCTAAAATTGGTGTAATTCAGTCCAGCTGGTCCCATCAGACATGCAGTTTGGTAGTGGCTTCAGAAAGCAAGATAAAGAAATGGTATTTCCTCAAATATCATTCTGCAAGTTGTCCTATATGTTGCCATTTTCTATGCTTTTCTCTGGTGGCGTTTTTTTCTTCCCGATGCAAGGCTGTATCAGTAAAGTAAGTATTCCTATCATATAAAGCAAGCCACATATGTAGAAAGAAAAGTCATACTTTTGTGTGAGATCATAAATCCATCCTGTAAAACAAAATCAGAGCAACTATAAATGGAGAATGATCAACGAATCAATAACAAACACAGAATATTCATTGATCACAGAAAAAAACAGTGATAGTTCACAGTACAATTGAGCAGATCTGTGTTTTGGGACTACAGTTCCCAGTCCCCAGTCAGCATTTGCCTAGGGAATTTTGGGAGCTACAATCCAAAAGCACGTTTTTGCACACCTCTAGTTGACGCCATCTTGATTTGGTTTCTTCCTCTGCCTAGCATAATCCTGTCAGAAACATAATATATTTACATTACCTTCAAAGATAACATTAATTGCTGTGTATAAAGATATGTTTTCATCACCTGAGTCATATTATATCGCAGCATCTGCAAAGAATGTAGACCTGCAATGCGGGCATCCTACAAGATTGTCACCTGAAAGGCTTCCCAGATTATAGATGTTAGAAATTACTAAGGAATATACTTGCTGCTAGAATGGTGTTGTGGACAGTGATGGACTAAGTAAGACTCAGGAGACATCAGTTCAAATCCCTGTTTGGCCAATGGAAAACCACTGGTGGATGGCCACTGTTAAAAATCACTCATAAAATATGTCACATATCTTGAAAACCCTGTTAGGGTCACTGTACATCAGATGCAACTTGATGACACATACCAGCAGTCCTTACCCTATCCCAACACCATGCAGACATAGTGGCAGTCACTGAGCTAGACACCGTATGGATCTCACTTAACTCAGCTCCCACCTCACTTCTCACTTTGTTCATACCATTTTTTACTTCTGCCAGCAGACCAGAATCAGCAAAGTAGAACTGCCAAACAGATTTGATTTCAACTGGCTTCGTGCTCTGGAGAGGACAATCCAGCTTCGCGTACAGCGTCGAAGTCCTCCATACAGAGCACGTTATCATAGTCTCTCGAGACTGAAGGATGCCAGTCTCTATGATGTGGCAAAAGAGAGTTTTGACAGTACAAGGCAAAAACAGTTGCTAGCAGAAAATACTTTTGCCTAATCCTAAAACTCTAAAGACAGTAAATTTTTGAGTTAGGATTGCACTGAAACTCTCTTATTACATATTTCAAACGACTTTAATATAACAATCTCCCCTACACTATAGCATCCCTAGTCTGTAACTATATCTAAGAATGTCCTGTTACATTTCACAAATTATCCTTAGATAGAATTTTATTTCAATAAAAACATTTATGCAATCCATGTTCTTTAAGGATTTTCAGTTGAAACTTCATACTAACTAGAATCCCATTTGCTATATAGTGTGTTTCACGCAGATATTCTCAAAGAAAAAAACCATATGGCGGGCATTGAAATGAGCAAATATAGTCTTTAGAGACTACATAGATTTTAAACTTTTTAAAAATTTTGCTAATTATAGAAGATGAGCTATATAGTCAAGGAAACGAAATACTGCATTTACCTGCAAATGGTGGTCCCAGCAGTGCAGAAATCCCATTGGCACAGATTATGATTCCATAGGCATTCGCAAGATGCTTCGTCCCTACTAAATCCTCTGTTACAACAGGCATGAGTGAAAAATATCCACTAGAAAATCCTATTAGGGCACATACTACTGCCAATCCAGCATACGTGTGCATTAGTGGGAAAACAAAAATGCAGGACACAAGAGTAAAGTTAGCTGCAATGAAGACGTTCCAGGCACTGGCACATGGAGAATCAGAGATAATGCCAAGGATGACTTTCCCAAAAATGTGAACAATGGCAATAATTGAAGTCAATGGAAATATATCATCCTGCACAGATAGGTGATACTGTTTTACTATTTCTGGGAGATGGATAAAAGGGATCACAAAAGTGCTATATGCAAATAAGGCCCAAAACACAAAGGCTGCAAATTTTCTGTTCGCGAAGAGGGAGGCAGTACCAAAATAACTAGAATACCACACTCCAAATCCTCTCTGGATTGTAACTGTCAGCTGTCTCACTGTTTTCAGAATACACAGAACATAGATGTTCTTCCCATGTCCAGTGACATCTTTGCTTTCCAAGGCCAAAAGGCTGCCAAGCTTTTCATCCTTCTCTTGTCCTCCTTTTGTCTCTTTCAGCTCTTCTCTAAAGACACCGTTAGATGTCAGTGTTTCTTCAGAGTGGGAGAGAACTTTCTCAGAGAGACTCTTGCTTCTGTCATTGTTTGTTTCTCCATCTTTTTCAGCAGCAGCATCCTTGTAATAAATGGGCCTCATAAGGGCTCCACAAACACATAGGTTCAAAGAAACTGCACCTTGGATCAGCATGGCATTCCTCCAGCCAAACTCCAGGCAAAGGTATTTGAGCAAAGCTGTCATCAGGAAAGCACCAAATCCTGTCCCTGTTGTGCTGAGGCCTTGGGCAAGTGCCCTTCTCTTCTGAAAGTACTCTCCTACCATGACCACAGCAGGTAGGTATACCATGCCACTTCCAATACCTGGAAAATAAACAGTTCCAAACTTACGTAGGATACCTTCATTGCAGTAATTATACATTCAGATTAACCAACATAAGCCTCAAATATGATCCCACATGGCGTCAACTAAATCTTTTTAGGTCGGTCTTCATAAGCATGCTATGAAACTGAAACAATGTGTTGCTTTATGCTGCTATCTAACAGAGTCAATCATAGGACAAGCACTGCAGCAAATCTGAAGCTTGTGCGTACAACAGAAAAGGAGAGAGATGTAAACTGGGACCATCAGATCATCTTAAATTCAGTTTGAGTGCCACAGTAACAAGTATTCTAAAATAAATTTAGGCAACAATTTTCAGGCAGCACCTTATACATTATTTTCATAGAAATGCAGGTAACATGCCTGACATGACTTACCTGACACACCCTATGGTTGCACAGTATGTCCTCATGCAGTATACTTGTGCAGATGTTTAGAATCCACAGATTCAAAAGTTGCAATCCCAGATGCAGATGCACTGAACTTTGTAACTCTAGATTAACTTTGTTGTTTTAAAAGATGGATCATAAATTTCAAACTGCTAGCTGAGGAGAAGCTTGAAACCAACTTGCTTATTGCAGCTAAGAAGCTGATCTGGCTTCAACGTCAGTCACGTGAATTTGGGACATCAGTAACATATAATTTTGGAAATACACACAAGAATTTGATGTACAGCCTTGAAGAAGATGATTTATCATCAGAAGCTTGCTGTTTGTATGATTGTTGGCTTTTATATTGTTAATGGTCAAATAAAGGCATCACCTATCCCTGCATGTATATTGCTTCAACAACCATATAGCTTTTTCCTGATTTTTCCTTTATTGTTCATGGTCTCTGAGTCTCCTGATCTTTCTTTGAGAAACCATCTGTTTGAGGTGACTAGCTGAGAAGGCTTTCAAATAACCCAAGGGCAGGTCCATACTGCAAGAAATGTAATGTCTGGCACTTAGGAACGCAGACATTCTCTGTACAACGTGGGGAAAAAATAGGGAGCTATTAACCTACTGATGTTGCACTTGGGTGTTGCTAATGTATTTGATAGTGGAAAACACAATACAACCTACTGACCCAGTGAGTAACATACAACAAAAGTGGTGAATGCGTCACCTAAAGGTAAAGGTAAAAGTACCCCTTGACATTTTTAGTCCAGTTGTGTGCGACTCTAGGGGGCGGTGCCCATCCCGTTTTTCAAGCCATAGAGCTAACGCTTGTCCGAAGACAGTTTCCATTGTCATGTGGCCAGCGTGACTAGGGAACGCAGTTTTACCTTCCCACCGAGGTGGTACCTATTTATCTACTCGCATTTACATGCTTTCAAACTGCTAGGTTGGCGAGGAGCTGGGACAAAGGTGAGTGAGAGAAATTGATTATCAACTTGTGATTTACTTATTATATATTACTGATCAAATAAACAAGTTTAAGTTTTAAAGCAACACATGTCTCACTGAATAATTGGTACTGAATTGGTATTAGTGGCAGCAACTAAAGAAGAAAGAGTGAGCACCTCCTGGAGGCCTGGGATAATAGAGGCTTCAGCGAGCTTGCAACAGCGAGGAGCTGGGACAAAGCAATGGGAGCTCACTCCGTCACCTGGATTCGATCTTACGACTGCTGGTTTTCTGACCCTGCAGCACAGGCTTCTGCAGTTTAGCCTACGGCACCACCACGTCACCTAGTATCCCCTAAAATTAGCCTGGATCTTCAGCCTGTGCAACTTACTATTACAAAATGAAAATTAAGCTAAATGTACAGTACTGTAGTACCTGTTCACTGATATATAAGTTTTCCTATCTGCCTACCTGTTAGATGCCTGCCTTGCTTTACTTCCCACAGGCTATCAATGCACTGATGACTACAGTGCTAGTTTGACAGTTGTGGTTGGGACGCCTGATCACTGGCCTTGCAAGCAACTAATTTGGTGTAAGTCCATGACAGCTTGAAATCAAAATTTGGAAAAGTTACTGAAGAGGATTATAACCCTCAGAAAACACAGGCCAACACAGCCACTGGAAGATTCTAGCAGCTGCAGCACAAACACACACACACACACTAACAGATTGTGGATAAAGTACACTATCATTGCATTGACTTTCTGAATGTGAGAGATTAACACCATATTCAGGTGTTCTGCCTGAACCTTTAAGTCTGGAGATGACACTGGCCATGATGCCTAGAAAATTCTGGGAGCAGAAGTTCAAAGCCATAAAACTTTACACGTCTTTCTGAAATAATGGGGAAAGCTGATTAGGTGGTAGGGATGAGACCTTATCAGGATCTCCTGTCACAGGATTACACAGCTGTACTTCAGACCATTGTGCTGATGACAGAAAGGTCTGAGAGACTTCTTGGCAAGTTTGGAATATGGGTGCAATATTTCCATAGTTGCCCCCATCTCCACTATTCATTTACTTTTCCAGTTTCAAGCATAATGTTTGAATAGTACTATATTTGTCCTAATTCAGAATTAAGCCCTCTATATGGCACACATATTGTCATTCTTTCTAGTCTGCCATGCCACTGAAGCATCATAAATCATTTAAAAAGCAAAAAACAAACAAACCCTGAAACATCCTTAACAACTGTAAATACTGTTACTCTCAAATCAATTGGGCCTCAAAGGCAGAAGGGCTTTAAGACAAATTCCAAAACTACCATAATAAAAAGTGGAACAAACCTACTACCAAATGTTGGGTAAAGCCACCAATTCAGGGGGGCACACAGGCTGCTTGAATGAAAGAGAATGCCTACAGATGGGATCAATAAGTGAAGACAGAAGTGTGAACTCCCCCCACCAATACTTCTTTAAAACTATTCAGAATTACTCCTTTTCTGAGATGAGAGCTGAAATTGGTCTCGATTTTGTTTTCACGTATGCCCAAACAATTCTTTGAATTACTATCTGGTGTTATATCAACACTGTAGCATCTGCCAGAAGAATACATCTGCTGACTGAGTGCATGTTTTCTGCCTGAAAATCTCTAACCCTTCATCCTCTTAGTCTGTTGGTTTTCAGAAAGAACATGGAAGTTAAATGCCCCTCCCCCCCATTCTTGTTCTTGAAAGGGAGAAACCCAATATTTCTTCTGCACAGAATAGTTTTACCAGGAGATGGTATAAGACCCTTACTTGATATAGCAGATTCTGTCTGTACACCACTGAATGGAGCCCAAATGTTTTATTTTACTTATTGTATTTTTACTGCAAAGAATAGCATTGGAATTTTCAACTTCAGATACAAAAATATTTCATGATGGCCCCATTGCTGTTCACTGTTAAGTCTTTACTTTGTTCCTGGGCATTAACTTTCATTCCTTACAAATACCTTTCTCTTTGCTGTTCCCGTTTTGCTCATCATCATAATTCATGTTACTTAAAGGGACAGGTAAGCTGCCTACACAACTTCCATAAACAGACATCCAATTACAGCTGTTGATAATAACTTCTAGATGACAGTAAGCCTTTTACAACTTATAGATGTCTAACATTCGAATCATTGCAACATATGTTTCAGAACTGATTCAAAATATTTAATTTAATCATTCTAGTTTTGTATTAAAGCTTCAATCTAGAATCCTGCTGGATAAGATCAGATCTAGTCCAGCTCCTCATTCCTAGGATGGCCAAGCAGATGCACATGGGAAGACCACAATCTGAGTATACATACAACTACATTCTCCTGTTTGTGTTCCCCAGTGTCTTGAGATTTGGGGAATCAATCTCTGATACTGTAAGGAACATTTAGACTGAAATCCTATTATTTAGTGCAGAAAATCACAATTAGATTAGGCTCTCTGAATCAATGGAATACACCAAGGAACTGACTCACCAAATTTCCATTGATTGCTTACTACAGTATACAGCAGGATTTCAACAACTGCTATAATTAATAACCACATTCCCTTATTGGCTGCATATCTTAAAGCAGTGAAGAGGGTTGTGTGTCAGTGAAGCTAAGGGCAATGCTGTCAAGAGACCAGACTCCATTATGAGCCTGGACTCCTGTTAGGGTCACACAAAGCAAAATAGTCATAGCTGAGACACCAGATTAAAATGCATCCAATGTCTTCAAGGGTACTCACCAAATCAGGAGAAGAAAATGGATAGCTTGAACAGTGATGGGGGCAGCAACAATAGATGAAGGTGAGCCTGATGTAGGAGCCAAAGGCAGTGACACTCAAGTTAACATTTGTGAGTACTGTGAAGTAGGAGGCAATGGTAAACCACTGCTGAACTTTCTTTATCTTGAAAGCCCTATAGTGAAACAAGATGAGACTCCCAGCTCGGAAATTACAGCTACTCGGGAACAGCAAAGGACAAGTAAGAAAATAGTGCTGCCACTACTTATGCTACTAGATTAAAGCCAAGGGCTGACATGCACACAATAGAAAAGAATTTCCAATGCAGCATAATGCGTACAATTGGAACATGAAACATGAGAAATATGAATAAAGATAAACTGGAAATCGTAAAGCAAGAAATGGAACATATAAACACTGCAGTGCTTGATGTCAGTGAACTAAAGTGGACGGGAATGAGATATTTTCAATCAGAGAACTGCAAAGTGTTATACTTCGGAAATGACAAACTCAGAAGAAATGTAATGGTCCTAATACTGAGGCAAGATGTAGCACAGGAAGTTAGGGGCCAAATAATATTAAATCAAAGCCCTTCCTGTGTAGATCATGAGAAACTATGGTTTGTTTTGAAAGAAATGGTTCTGTCTCAGCACTTGATTGTCTTGATGCATAATCTCTATTGTGGACAAGAAGCTAGCATTAGGACAGAATACAAAGGAACAGAATGGATTCCTACAGGCAAAGGTATCAGAAGGGTCCATTTTATCCCCTTATTTGCTCAATCTGTACGCAGAACATGCCATACAGAAAGTCAGACTAGATTCAGATGAAAAGGAGTGAAAATTAGTGGAAGAAATTAGAGTAACCTAAAATATGCAGATGGTATCATCTTACTAGAAAGAAGAATGTGCCAAAGCAGGACTGCAGTTGGGCATTAAGAAGACAAAAATCATAATTAAAGAACTAACATTGACAATGAAGGAATTGAAATTGTATACCTTGGAGAATAAGGAAATCTAACCTGAGTACTCACTGGAAGGACAGATCCTGAAGCTGAAGCTCCAATACTTTGGCCATCTCATGAGAAGAGAAGACTCCTTGGAAAAGACCTTGATGTTGGGAAAGTGTGAAGGCAAAAGGAGAAGGGGACAACAGAGGATGAGATGGCTGGACAGTGTCATCAAAGCAACCAACATGAATTTGACACAACTCTGGGAGGCAGTGGAAGATAGGAGGGCCTGGTGTGCTCTGGTCCATGGGGTCACGAAGAGTCAGCCTTGACTTAACAACTAACCAACAACAATACGAGGGGATGCTGATAAGTAATGAGCCTTTCCCAGAAAAAAATGAGCTAGGAAGCTGTAACTGCCACACTATTCTACATATTCCCCCAGGAGGTCAATGCACTTGTGACATCTGTCCTGCAGCTTCTTAAGTTCCTGCAAATAAAATTCTTCCGACTGCTGGTGTAACCACTCATTTGCACCATTAGTTGCCTCCAGAACACTCCCAAATTACTGTCCCTTTAGATGTTTTTTGAGTTTGAGGAACAAATAATAGTCAGAAGGAGCCAGGTCAGGAGAATAAGGTGGATGGGGCATCAGTTGAAAGCCTAAGGAGGTCAGTTTTGCCATTGTTTCACCTGCAGTGTCTGACGAGGCATTGTCATGCAACAGGATGACACCTCTGGAGAGCTTTCCTTGACATTTTTCCTTGATGTCTTGCCTCAACTTCTTCAATAAAGCACAGTAATATTTTGGTTGGACAGTGTCACCAAAGCAACCAACATGAATTTGACACAACTCTGGGAGGCAGTGGAAGATAGGAGGGCCTGGTGTGCTCTGGTCCATGGGGTCACGAAGAGTCGGACACAACTAAACGACGATGATTACCTTGGTTCAATTATCAGTCCAAATGAATATTGCATCAAAGAAATATTGCAAGGATAGCATTAGGGAGAAAAATCAAGTCTAAGTATGCATCACTGGAGACCAAAGTGATCCACACTATTGTACTCCCGTTCACTATGCAAAAGTGTGAAAGCTGGATAGTAAAGTTGATTGACAGGAAGAAAACTGATTTGTTTGAAATATGGAGAGCCTTTCATATACCCTGGACTGCCAGAAAGCTAAATGGGTCCTAGATCAACTCAAGCCTGAACTATCTCTGGAAGCAAAAATAATAAAACTGAGGCTTTGGGCACATCATGAGAAGGCGAGATTCTCTAGCAAAGATAATAATGCTGGAAAAGGTTGAAGGCAGCAGAAAAAGAGAAAGATATGAAATGGACTGATTCACTAAAGGAACCACAGCCTTGAGGTAACAAAACCTGCGTATGGCTATTTTGGATAGGGCATTTTAGAGATCACTCATTCATAGGATCATTATCTTACAAGGCAGCAGCAACAACCACCAATTATAGTCTAATCCCCCTTTAAAGTTTGGTGGACACCACCACATCTGAAGGAAGTAAATTTACCTATGTGCTGCATGAAGAAGAACCGTCACTGTGTTTGTCTGTCCTGAATCTCCCATTATACACTGGATAACTGAGGTTTAGTATTACAAAGGAAAAAACATGTCTATCTATGCATAATTGTATATCTTTATATCTATCTCCATCTTCTGCCTTCCTAATCCCTTTTTCCCATTCTAAAACGCACCCAAATATTCCTTCATCTTTGCAAGCTCTGGAATATCCTTTCTGAGATGGATTACCCAAAACTGCACACAATATTCCAGGTGTGTTTATGCCACAGTGGGGTTCAGCGGGACTAATTTGAGTTCATGGGACTCACTTACGAGTAAAGGTGCTTAAGAATACACTGTGCTTAACTTCCTGTCTATGGGTCAAACTACTCATACAAGCAGGTAGACATTTATGGGGCTTGCACAAGGAGATAACCAGGAGTCAGGATCTTCTTGTGCTAAGACAACTTGATTTTATCTAACAGAGATCTTTGTAAGCACAAAAGTGCCCCCTTCACTGTAGCAGAGATCTCTGTTTAAGGATAGTCCTTGTCAAAGAGATGACTTCAGAGCTTTATCCTCTGCTGGTACTGAAAAGGATTCCATCCACTGTTTCATGTTATACACTTCCTGTTTTACAGGACGGATGCTATATTACTTCTTGAAATTTTGACAATACGTGTATATACTGTGTACCATCAAGTTGATTCCAATTCATGGTGATCTCTTCCAAAGTTTTCAAGATAAAGAATAAACAGAAGCAGTTTATCATTCCCTTCTTCTAGGAGCATCCTGGATTTGTGCAGCTTGCCTAGGGCCACACAGACTGTCTCTTCTGGAATGCACAATGGGGAATTTACCTCTGGCTCCACAGCCAGATAATTAAACCATTGAGCTATCCTACCAGCTTTTGGCATTAGACACTGTTAAAGCAGCTGTCATGCCTATTTCAGGTCGAAGGTGCTTGCTATCTTAGAAAGATTACAATGGAGTACTCCAGATCAATGGTGTACACAAATAAGGAAGTGTACATCAAATACAAGTAAATATAATGCTTTGAATCAACCCTAGCCAATATAATTTGTAAGGATCAACAACGCAAAACGGGAAAAAGTTGCCCTGAAAAGGCATGCTACCTTTGGTGACCTTAAAATCTATTTACCCTCTTGAAACCAATGCACTGTACTGCATACTTCTTCTTCATCTTAGAACTGCAGAGCTGGAAGAGGCCCTATGGATCACTGAGTCCTGCTCTTGTCAAAAAGGCACAGTGTGGAATCGAACTCCCAACTTCTGCCTCCACAGGCAGATACCTAAACCACTGAATATCCAGCAGTGGATACTTTATTACACTGTTTTCTGAAATGAACACAAACAGTTCATGTTCAACAGTGTAATTGCTGGCATCAGTAAAGGAGGGATCTCCTCAACTACCTTGTTTTATATGCACAAATGTAGCCCGTTCATTGAGGAGAATACTTGATAGGTTGAGATATTTTTATTTGTGGTCGGAGTTTCTATGTTCACAGGGAACAATATACCAGGCTGATTGCCTTTACTGACTGCTTGCTCATTTATCTTTCCTACGTTAAGAAACAGTTAAATGCATTGGAAATACCTACATGCATGTTAAAAAATAAACTGCACTTACCTGCTGTAACTCCAAATGTCATAAAGAGGTAGTACACGTTTGAGGCATAGGAACTCAATATCCATCCCAAGGCATTCAAGATTCCTCCAGCTATGGCTGTCTTCCGGCATCCACAGGTGTTAATGAACAAACCAATAAATGGACCTGTGACACAAAATGAAGAATGAATTGTTTCTATTAAAGCTCTGCATATTATCTTATGAACATAATGGGATATAAAACTATCTGATTATTATTTACAAGGAGACCAGTTAGATAATAATCTCATTCAAGGCTGGAAATCTGCACCCAGAGATCAAATCAAATATTTCTCATCTGTATATGAATTGCAAGCAACTTAAAACTAATCATTTCAGACAGGTATCACAGATAACAGCTAATCTGTTTCCTAACTTAAAAGCTACTACTGCTAAAGGTATTGATCTATGGGATGCAATTCTGCAGGACTAGAGTTCAGAGATCTCTTGCTCTACCTAAGTTACACATCCTCTCAGAGACACACTTAAACTCTACCAAAGTCATACCATCTACCAAACAGAGATAAAAATCTGCAGTATCTATCCTTCACAATGTGCTACCCATCTTGTTTTGGCTGGTCAATCGGAAAGAGGTGGCCCATAATTTCATGGAGAAGTGGTTAAGGCACCTTTTTTTCTGATTTCATATCATCCTGAACCAATTCTGAAGGCAGAGGTAAGTTCTAGATGCTGTAAGAGTCTTATTTGCACAAATGTACCCACAGACCAAAAGCAAGACATAAAAGGTGAGACACAACCATCTCCCAACCAGATGACAGGCATAAGAATTGTGAAAACTATGCATGTGATTCAAAATCCAATATCTGGATCCATATGACTAGCCCCAAAGTGTCCCACTGTAACCCAAATAATCTTGGCTACTGTGTTTATTACAATAGTTTTCTTCACAGAATGGTGAACCCAAAAATCAGAGACAACAACTCTTGGAATGTCTTAGAAACTATGGTCAGTGATGCCGACTGGGGTTTTAGCTGTTTTAATCTTAAAAAGTAACTTTTCCAGACTATGATAGTCTTTGCAGGCCTGACTGGTGTTGTGACTGATTTCATTTTGGCACTGTCCAACCATCTCATCCTCTGTCATCCCCTTCTCCTCGTGCCCTCACACTTTCCCAACATCAGGGTCTTTTCCAGGGAGTCTTCTCATGAGATGGCCAAAGTATTGAGTTAGCTGAGGCTATTACACTTTCCGTATATGATTAATTTTATAAAAGCGGGTAGCAGTAGGAATAGAGTAAGACTGAAGATGAGATGGTTTGGCTCAATAATATAATAGAATTTTATACTTTAATTCGTGACTTTTTATTCCTCATGGGTTAAAGTCTGCAAAACTTTCCAGTCACAAATCACTAACTAACTAATTTGCTAGGGTTGCAGAATCTTCCTGAGGTCAAGGCAAAGAAGCATATAACTCTCAAGGCACTGACAGAAATTTCTCTGAACGGAAAGTACAAAAATGTGTTCCCAACCAAAGTAGAACACTGCTAAAATTTAATCTGCCTATGTAGCAGAATCATACATCACTAATTTTTGTTTGTTTATTTCGGTTGTAACACCCAGGAAGAACTAGGCATGTCTCCTTTCTAACGTTTTATTTTACTATATGCAGACAGAAATTTTGCAGTGAATCCATTCAGGCATTCAGATCTTTGTAACTTCTAGATTAGACTGCTATAATGCACTTCATATACAACTGCCTTTCATGACATTTCAGAAACTTCATCTACTTTAGAATTTGTTAGCCCATCACTAGCTTCATTTGCTGTTTTTTGTTCTAAGGAGAGCCATCACTGAAGGGTGGGCTTGAATTTATATTGCTGTATTTCAGTGTTATCACCCACTGGTGAAACTTGGGCAAAGACAAATTTCTGGTCTATAAATATTTTTAAGTAAAGAATAAGCATTAAGACAATCCCATGGTAGACTTACCATCTGATAAAGCATACTAATATCTCACAATTCTGCTACACAGGCAGATTGGCTCTATGTCATGTTTAGACACAAGACCAGAAATTCAACCTGTTATACATGTAGACAGATGGCTGGCCTGCATTTCACATACACTGCTTCATCAGCACTAGGCAGAAAGAGTATAAAACACAACCACATTTTCTGCAGCATTTAAAATTTGCAGCATTTACACTGCTAAGCCTCACAAGCAGTCATTTTTATGTACTGTCAAGTTGCTTCTGACTTATGGCAAACCTAATACAAGTTTTCAAGGTATATGAGATGCTCAAGTAGTGGTTTAACATTGCCACGATGCCACACCACCACCATCCCTGTGAGTTTCCTTGAGGGAGCAGAGATTTGGAGCTGGAACTCTTGAGTACTAGTCTGGCAGATTGTCCGCTACATCAGTGGTCCTCAACCTTGGGCCTCCAAATGTTCTTGGACTACAACTCCCAGAAGCCTTCACCACCACCTCTATTGGCCAGGATTTCTGCGAGTTGAAGTTCAAGAACATCTGGAGGCCCAAGGTTGGGGACCACTGCGCTACATCACTGGAATAAATGGCAGGAACACACGGGACAGTATTTACAATGCAGTCAGAAGTTAAATACAGTACATTTTATTTTGACTATGTTGCTACACAGAAAAAAATGAGCCACTGATTACTACATGGGAACACTGAAAAGGTATTCCTGGTTGGCTGGGTGGACAGGTTTGACTGTAATGTCATAATTTCCATGCCACTACGGGAACAGAGGTCCTTGCTTGCCATTCTAATTGGTGGCACCACAAAATTTTGAAGGGCAACACAACAACACGGGTATTCCTTTCTATTTACAGCACTGCTTCCCCCATTGAAATGAATGGTGTAACCCATACAAACAAGGGAAGTAATACTGAAGTACATCAGAGTTTATACATAACTTTGGATTGAGATGATAATGTTCATGTAATAACAATAATAAAGACCCCTACCTACAATCAGGGTAGTACCCATACTGAGAGAGCTGACCCATGCTGTCAGGCCTCGGCTCTCGCCAAATTCTTCAAGCCATTCCTTGTTGAGAATTCCAAGGGCCATCTGAGATCCCATGACAAGGATATGCACCAGGAAGGAAGAAAGAACCATCATCCAAGCCCATCCTCCATCAATGTCTGGATTTGACTGGAGCTTCTTGTCCCTCTCTCTGGAATCATCCTCAAATTCATAACCAATATCTTCGTGGCTGGTGTACATTTTCCACAGATTATCCTGAAACAAAGAGATAGAACGTTCTCACTCCTCCCAAAGAAAACAAGAGCTGCTTTTCCTATTAGTTACTCAGTGCTATATGTTTCCTCAACTTAAATAAAGGTCGAATTGTATCAAATCACATTTCACATTTCCCAGAAGTTCTTTGCACTGTTATAGAGAGGAAAAAAATATAGTAACATAATCAAGGTAAAACCTATCAACATTAAGTCAAGCTAAAACTTTTCTTGGGAATTGCCACTCATGGTGAAAGTAACAAAGCAAAGACATTTAGGAGCAAAATATTCCTAACATTTGACATATATACAATCAGTATCTACAGTTTCATAACTTTTCTGTTATGTATTGGCTGCAATCCTCTACTTGTGCAACAAGGATGACATCAGGAGCAGTGGGAAATCAGACTGATTGGCAAACTCGTGCAGATTACAGTCAATTTCTGGTTGCACATGATTCTTAGTGTGCCATAGTGTGGCAAAGTTGTACCCTGAAATTCCCAAAAGGAACCTCGAATCAGTAATGATTTGCCACTGTAGATTACATTATCCCTGCTGTGCACACAGAGCTGTGCAACAGGATTTCTGCCACTGTATTTTATATGTTTGACAAATTAATTCTTTTTAAAAAATCCTTAGTTATTCCCACACAGACACAGGCACACCTATGATTGAAGGTGGCTAAACACAACAGAGGACCAGAAGGTGTTTTATACCTACTATTACTATGTTCATACATCTATTCCAACCTTGCAATGGTTCATAAATAAATATATCTCTTTCTTATATGTTCGAGTATGCCAAAAACATATTTTGTTCTGTTTATGCAGCTGACCTAAGAAAAATCTGTCACGGCCATAGATCAGTCCCAAATTAATTTTCATTTTAATTCAGTGACAGCCATTTGCACTACTTATTTTCAATAATGAAGCCATCTGTTGCTACTTAAAATTTCCTAAAAGACTTTCTCTGTGCTAAGATCTGAATGTCTCTAAAAGATGTTTTTAATTTGCATAAGCAAATATGATGGATTTATATGCTAGGTTTTGCACATCTTTACAAAGAATCTGACTGTATAAGAGGAGAGGAAAATGTGTTGCTTTCACTGGCAAAAAATTTTTTTATTAGAATTAGCCAAAATGCACATATTTCTTTACAGCTGAGATGGAAGTAACTTGAGATTGAAGAAACTGAAATGTGGGAGAAACTAAACCCAAAAGCTTCATTAATGCACACCCAGGGCTTTGGGTGCTTAAACTATTACAAGTTTGAGTTTGAAACCCTGTGTATTCAAACCATGTTCAAGTTGCCACCACTTTTTGCTAAAAGGCTCCTTCTCTTTAAGATCCATACGGCACACAGGTACAGGTGGTTCTGGACATGTTGGGAAGAGCTGTATATAGGGGTATATAATTCTTTTTTCATTTTCACTCCCTTCCTCAGATTTCTCCAGGAATTCCCCAAGCAGAATTCTGAGAGATCAAGCCCACAAACACATACCTGCAGACACCTTCATTTCAGTCACGTGGAAAATGCTAATGCCTCCTTCAAGGCCTTCTTCTAAGCCTTTATTTCCTGCTGCAGTGCTTCCTGGTGTGTGTGTGTGTGTGTGTGGGGGTGTTCTTTAGGAAGTGCCCTCTATAGACTACAAAGGCAATGAGACTACCACCCCAGGAAGCATTGGGGGCAGTTTCTTTCCAGGAAGCATTGCATCAGGAAATAAAGGCTTAGAAAAGGGCCTTGTAGAAGGATTCAGCCTTGACTGTGATTAAAATGGAGGTGTCAACACGCATATGTTTGTGTGCTCGAACTTACAAAATTCTGCTTGAGGCATTCTTGGATAATTCAGGGATTCAAGCTCCAAAAAACCGATGGCACACCTCTACCAGTAGCCATGGAATTTGGCCGGTGCTAATAGGTGGGGGTTAATTTGATTTCAAAGTTTAAGAAAAAGAAGCCACAACATTCTTCATCTTTTAAAGGGAAACAATTTAAGGTTTGAAAAAGTTTGACTGATGATGAGAGGAAATGGATCTGACATATTTCCCCATCTCTACTCCTAACTTGAGGGTGCCACATGAAAAGATGGCGTTAAGGGAGAATACTGCATCCATTCAATCGATGGGTGGGGGAGACGAATGCATGTTGCTGCCAGCACTGGTGACACCTTCTTCCAGTTATCTTTCATAATGAATACTACTTGAATTCACAGCTGTTTGATGCATAACCATCTCTACATTACTGGATGATACTTTTTTAGCAGCAGCATGCAAGTGGAGATGTGATAAATACTCATAAAATTTCTCATTCTCGGCAATTTTCCAAGACCTGTCATACCTATCAGGAAGTCACGGGATTCATTGTCAAGTCAGACTTAATTCACACCAGTGACTCGACTCGACCTGCATTCATCAGGTTTTGGGGGGGGGGTTAATGAGACTCTACTCAGAACCCAACCACCCCCTCTTTTTTTTCTTGGAAAAAAACCCTTCTTTTAATAGGGACTTGGACTTGGGACTCTGGACTTGGGACCAAAGACTTGGAACCAAACATTTCCCCTGAGCCTTCCTCATGCATCAGTGACATCTCCCAGCTTCCCACAAAAGAAAGAGTCTAGTGTAGTTTTCTCTTCTCTCTTCGCCCTTTGTTCTGGACAGAAACCACAAAATTCTACACAGTTCGATATCCTTTTGAGTGAATCCTGTGCAGGAAAGATGCCATTCCACACAGTAATATAATCTGTATAGACTGGCATTTCTTCCAGGGAGAAAAAAATGACCGTGAAACTTCCAAGAAATACCACAAGATTTCTCACAAGGCATCTTGAAGGAGAAAAAAACTAATCGAACACAGAGCCATTTCATTAGAAGAAGAAAAGAGTGACTTTCCCTCCCCCTCTGTTCTTCTCTGAAAGCAAGAGGCTGCAAGATTCACATCCCTACATGGCAACTGACAACCATAAATTAATCTCACTGTTTCACTGCCAGGTGAGCAGTGGCAATTATGCAGATCTTTATCACTCAGTTATCAGCTAGCAGCAACCATGAGGGCAAGAACCCATGCAATTAGCACCACGGGGAGAAACCATTACATGTAACTGCAGTGCCATGGGACAGGCCCACAAAAAACATTTCTCACCAACTTATTCAAGAAACACAGAGCTTAAGTAAATTACATCACTATAATCAACCACAATAATTTGCATGTCCAGCCACACAAACACCATGGCAAATAAAGGTGCTCTGCACATGCCTTTGGATGATGTCACCAGTATATGGGCAGGAGGATTCAGTGTTCCCTATTTAACTCATCAGGTACAGTACAGAATTCCAAAAGAATATGTTAATATCAGGGTTGCTGGGGTACAGATAGTAGCAATGTATGCTTTTGCATTGAATTGTATTCTACCACTTTTACTCTATAAAAATACTCGTTCCTGAATAACAATTTAAGTTCCTTGTTTAAATTGAGATATTTATGGATGCCTAGATATTTATAGGGTTTCTGCTCCTCTAAGCATTGAATACACTGGCCTATACTGGGCACATAGTTACATAGGATTTGTCTCTTTCCATGTGGATGAAATAAAAAAAATAAAGCAGGCTAAACACAGCTGAAATTCTGACATGAAGCATGGAGGGAGATGGATAGTACCCAATAAGGTGGCTTAGAGGCAGTTTCTCAAAACTCAGTAAGAGAGGGTATAGAACTGAAATGTTTACCTTGCCCTTGCAGGGACTGAACTCATGCCCAAGAATACTTTTCACACTGCTGCTCACCATGTATTTTTATCTCTGGTCATCTGCACTGTAAATACGCACAGAAACAGGAAAGGTCATTCATAAAATCTGTGCACACACCTGTCAGCTGAACAGAACTTGGATAGGACACAAGACCTCACCCGATCTAAGGCAACCTTGACCTGGTGTCATAATCTCCATTCCCACACTGGCCAGGTTACTGCTCCACAGCTAAGTCTCATGCAGCATGCAGATTGCCAGAAAAGTATAAGGGCAGGAAAGCCACACATCAATGACTGCAAATTCAGGAGAGCCCTAATGCTGTAACAAAATCCATTAATTAACTCCAATTTAGAGTTAAAAAAAGTATTTGTTTTTTCACAATAACTTCCAAAATCCCCTGGTCATGCTAGCTTGGGGATTCTGGAAACTGTAATCTGCAACATGCATTTACAATGTCTCTTTTTATGATATCCTAACAATAATCCTGTTTGTTAGGTTACTTCTACTAAGAATGTGAGCTGTTAAAAATTTGTATATGGGAAAATCTCAACCAATCATAATTTAAACATCATTGAGATCGGGTAGTAGTTTCGTGTTTACTGTAGCTTGCGTTTTCCATCCTATCATACATAACCATTAATTTTCCATTAAGAGAAAGGATTACTTGATAGAGAAAGGCCTGCTAAGGAATATTAGTAGCCCAGATGGGCAAACTGTGTAAATCAGATTTGACCTGTTGGTCAAAGATTCCATTTCTTTGCTCTTGGTTGGGACGAGACATCCATGGCTTTTCCACCATCTTTGATCTTTCTGAATGAGGATGATAGATGCTTGAGTACACCACTGAATGGAGAGGTCACCAGCCTGCTCCTTTGGGAGATCTGAATATAAAATCTGAGAACAGAATTTCTAAGAGGCAGAACGTGCTTACCAGCTTACCATTTCACAACATCCGAAATATAACATTTGCACAAAACCACAAAGATTTCCATTTCTGCTTCTGAAGGTATCCTCTAGTTGCAAAGCCAACTCAAACGGAATTGTGAAGTGTGTGCTATATACTTATTTAAAAAGCAATAGGCAAAGCACAGTATCAAGGGCTTTTGTATGTACACATACACACTGTCAGATGCCATTCAACAGATCCATGAAGTCCCTTGAAGTGCTGTAGATCTAAGATTATTACTTCACTATTTGCTATCTCGAGAGCCTTAAGTAACAACATGATTTATATGGCAGTCACTGACATAGCAATTCCATTTTAAAAAGAAAGAGAGAGGACATTCTTATGTGCCTTGTGCAACTAAATAATTATTTTGGCATCATGAGCAACTCTCACCATCTTCCTAAATGAATAAATAGCTATTTGGGGTTTTATTCCACAATACCCCAAACCTACTGCCTGCAGTGATTGTTTCTCTTTCTCCCTAATAACAAGGCCGGCCAAGGTCCTGAAGTAAAAGCTTGTCTGGGTTAAAATTAGTGTGGAATTTATTCACAAGCTGCTAATTTTTTCATGTACATGCATGAACACCATACAGTGTAAATCCACTCATATGATCATCCTATGCAGTTCATAGTAATCCTTATAAATTGCCTCCCACATAGGAATTAAGCAGCCTGTCATACACAGACAAGTATCTACTCTAATATATTCTTTTCCTCTGTTTCTTTCACCTCCCTCACATGGAAATAATTAACCTCTAGTCGTAGATACCAAAACAAATCTTAGAATTGTTACTCTTCTAGGCTACAGCTCCCAGAATCTCTCAGCTAGTTGATGGGGAAAATTCCATGAACTGTAGTTTTAAAAAGTAACCTTTCCTGTTTTGCAGTGAACAAAATAGTACCACTAAAGATCTCTCCATTGACTTTCATATATTGTGTACACTATTCCAGTTTGTTCTGTTCTATATAAATTATAGAAATTAAACTTTGTTTTATAAATATGATTGCAGATAACAATTAAGCCAACAAAAGTGAGATTGTGATCCTAAGCACGCTTTTTCGGAAGCAGATTTGTACTTTTGGACGATGTTGCTTAATAAAAGGCTAGAAAATTTAAAGGTTAATTAACCTATCTGTACAACACCCCATGGGACTGTGGGTTAAACCACAGAAGCCTCTGTGCTGCAAGGTCAGAAGACCTGCAGTCATAAGATCGAATCCACGCAACGGAGTCCCAGCTCCTGCCAACCTAGCAGTTTGAAAGCATGCCAATGCAAGTAGATAAATAGGTACCACCTCAGTGGGAAGGTAACGGCATTCCGTGTCTAGTCACACTGGCCACGTGACCACGGAAGATTGTCTTTGGACAAACGCTGGCTCTATGGCTTGGAAACGGGGATGAGCATCGCGACCTAGAGTCGGACACGACTGGACAAATTGTCAAGGGGAACCTTTACCTAAAACACCCCAGAGGGTCCGGAATAATGTGGCAGTTATAATGATACAACCCAATGATCTTTTTGACTGGAACAACAAACCTGAACCTATTTATACAGTGGAGTTATCTGGAACCAGTGGAGTTTATTCTTGGGTGGTCTTATCAATGGGGGAAATCCAAAGGTAAGAGGATCAGCTTGATCCAAAGACATGCTGCAGGGCAGAAAGGAAGGAAGAAAAGTGCCTTCCTTTTCTCTCCATGGATTTTCCCCTTAATTTTAGGTTTCCCTCCCATTGGTTACAAGAGGAAGAAAATTCTGTCCATGAGAGACAAAGCTATCACACATTTCACTTAATACTGGGAGTGTGGAATGGGAAGGCTATGGACACTGTGACTCCAAACCTTCCTCTGAGCCACCCCAGACACTCCCATGGAACAATGCCATCTTTCTGCCTCTACAGACAGTGGAGCCAGAGGCACAGATGTTTCTGAAGCAACCGGGAGGGGACTTCCACAGTTACACTTCAAGAGCCCAAAGAAGAACTTTTCTCACTGTCTTTGAAGAAGGAAATTCGGATCCATCCTATAGTCCTTTAAACCCTATCCATGTACGCCTGGGGTAGAAAAACTGGTGGCCCTCCAGATGTTTTTAGACAACACTTCCCATCAGCCCTAGCCAGCAAAGCCAATTGTGAGGAATTCTGCAAGTTGCAGCCCAACATCTGGAAAACTGCACCTTTCAAACACAGCCCACCTTACATACAAATATGTACATAGACATATTTGTATATATACATCACATCAAACACAGTGGAACTGAGGGTTGTTGTTTTTAAACTCACTCACATCAGATTGCCCTGCATATGTCTGCTGAGTGTTGTCAAGTCAGTTAGGTTAATTAAACTCCTCCAAATCCACATCCAGCCTCCCATCTGGCAGACAGGAAAACAGGGAGACTGCTCTTGAGTCCTTGGCAGACGCCTCTTTTCATCCCAAGGATCTCTCCTCCTACACTCACTATTAGACATCACAGAAAGCTCTTGTTCTGCCTGCTGTTCTCTGTAGCAATGAACTCAGCATTGGCCCCTCTTCTTGTAACAGATTGGCTATGCTTAATACTCCAAATAAACCTGAGGTTGGAGCGTACCTTATAGGCTGCCCTCAGCTGTTCTTTTAAACAGGCGGGAGATGGCTTTGAATCATAATAATAATAGCAATAGTAATCTTAACAGTAAAAATAATGTGAATTAGCATATAAAGCGTGAAATAGATATTGATGCCATAAGCTGCAATCCTAGCCCATGCTATTTGCTTGAGAATATGTAGGTCTGTGCAGACATTTACCAAATTGCACTGCTCAGGATCCTGGGCTCCTGTCTACTCGCATGTACATTAACGTCAAAATGCCTCCAGCGCCTCACTTGAGAGATATAGCTGTGAGGGGCGGCGGGGAGGGGGAAACAACGCCTCAAGAATTTCAATTTAAAGCCCAATCCCGGTTTAACCACAAGACGAAAAGATATCCGTAAAACCTTCTGTTTGCCAGAAGGAAATTCGGAACGGATTTCGGAGCTGCGTTTCCCCAGGGAATCAAGGCCAAGGGACCCAGCCTTGCGCTCGTGGTGCCTCAGAGAGGGAGCGCCCGCCCGCTGCCGCCGCCGCGCTTCCCGCGCCCCAACCCTGCGGAAGCCATGACAACGAGCCAGGTACGCGCTGCTGGGAACCGGGCTCCGTCGGCGCGCCAGCCAGCGCGTCTAGCCCGGGTCTCTCCTTCGGGCAGCAGGTAACGAGAACGACGGACGAGAAGGAGGGCGTCGCACCACTACCCGCCCCAGCGGGGCCAAGGAGAGGCGAGTGACCGAGAGTTACCTCCTCACTGCAGCAGCAGCAGCAGCAGCACCAACACCGCCGGAGCACAGAAAGCGGTGCCGCCGTTGCCTGGCTCAACTTTCTGCCTGGTGGTGTGACGGCTGCATCGCCGGTCCCCGAGGCCACCCAACCCAAACGCAGCCGCCCTGCCCAGCCGTGCCCAGACTTGGGAAACCAGACGGCCCTGGCACGGCCCTTGGCTCGCTCCGGAGGGAACCTCTCTTATTCTCTGATGCCTCTCCAAAGTGACAGCCCTTCTCCGCGCTTCCGCCGCGGGATCCCTGGGACTGCGGCGATCCGGTCTAGGGGCATCTCCTCAGCCCAGCGCCCAAAGCCTCTCTCCGTGGCACCGGGAAGGCGGCGTGGAGAAGGCGGGAGGGAACGAAGAAGACCGGTGGCGAGGTTCCTCGCCGATCTCTACACCCGATCGTTGCCCTTTTGTCCTCAGGGCAACTCGCCTCGGCGTGACCCTTCTCCTCTTCCTCCTCCTCCTCCTCCCACCACAACCAGCCCATCTCTTGCTTGACGTTTGGAAAGCTGCGCGCTCTTCCCGGCGGGCCCCATACCGGCTAATTCTGGTTTCGAGGATTTGGGAAGCCCTCCGCCCGCTGTTGTGGCCAAACCGTGACTGCGTTCTGGACGAAAACTTGTGCCGATTTTGTTTTCTGTTTTTGAACTCAGCAGCCTGCTCAGTCACCTCTCCAGCCAGGCGAGTGACATGACAGAAGGGTGCGGGAAAAGTAGAGGAAGTTAGCCGGAGAGGAGTTGTGTGTTGTTTGCAGGCGGGCCTATTTCGTGGAAACCTGGAGGAGGGAGAGCTTGGAGAAGAAAAGAGAGAGCTTGCCAGATTTATAGTCTAATTTACGAGATATGGAATTGGCTTCCTTGGCTTCCAGATCCACTAATGTTCTCCCACACATACACACCTGGCCTCTTTTCCAAGTAGCATCTTTCATACTATGGATTCCTTGCTTACTTTGATGGTCGTGATCATCATCAGCAAGATGACTGTCCTAAAATTGTGGAATGCTTGTCACGTTTTTCTCACACTACTGTAAAACAAAACTGTGCAAAACAATCTTCAGTCTTAAGGCTCCATACCTACAGCTGTCAGTGAACTGAACGCCACTAAGTTTAGACATTCATAGGATGGATCTATTGTTGCCATACATGGACAGCTTACAATCAGGACAGGCCACCCTTTGGAAATTTTGGCGTCAGGTACCGTGGGCAGTTCAAAAGCCACTTGTAGTGCTGTCTATTTTTATGGGCCAAAGCTCAAATATTGCAAGACAAATACATCAAGGTTTAAAGTGCTGTGAGTCGTCTTTTGAGCTGCACTCGTCATGCTTGTGGACTATTCATTGACAACTGGACTAAACAAACCTTTGATTTGATCCATGGTGGTTCTTCTGGATTATGTTCTCTGGCCATGGAGTCAGAGGTTGGGAGTTCACTGTGCCTCTTTGACAGAGGCTAACTTGATCATCCATAGCGTCCTTTCCCTATGCAGTTCTATGATGATGGCGACAATGTTTTTTGTTTGTCATTGGCTTTACTATATCATTTTGTTCCGCCCTAGGCCTAGTTCATAGGTGACTTATGAACAAGCATAGGTGGCTCACGAACAAGCATTATCCCTATTTTGGGATAAAGTCCCCCCCCCAGCCCACCCTCATTACACAAGCTCTCCATGGTCTAATTTTAAAAGCCCTGTGCAAAATGTTAAGTTCAAGCCTTTGACCTTCCCCCAGCTATCCACCTTTTAAGGAAAAAAGATCAGAAAGAGAAGGAGGAGGAACAAAAAAGAAATCAGACATAAAAAGAAAGAAAAGATATTGAAAAGAGGGCACTATATAGCAAGAAGAGGCGGCAGAAAAGAAAGAGACCCAAATACTTTTCGCTTCACTTACTGTACTTTTGCCTGAGGTCCCACCCAGTGTCAGCATGCAGCTTCCAATACTCCCTACTGAGTGGTGCAGCTTTCAACAGAAGATAGTTGCTCAACTCTGTTGTGACAGGCACAGATATCTATTCCTTGGAAATCTGTGGCATTGAAGATGTTAAGCTGCATTGTACTGAACCAAGCAATGCACTGGATCACTGAGCCCTAGGACTGTTCACTTGGACTGGCAGAATCTTGCCAGAGTATCTGGACCAATTGGCTTCTTATTTTGTGTATTTATTTGGTTTTTGTATACCACCACATTAGTAAATACTCACTACTCTGCATAGTTTACAGAATAAAACATGAAACAAACCCAAAGATCTACTCTGATATATCAACAAAAGTAATATACCAACTCAAGTGCAGTTAGCAAAAACAGAGGATTAAAAAAAATAATATTAACATCTGTGAATACGTTCTTAAAGGCTGCTTTATAGAGTTCCATTGTTACTGTCAAGTTGTTTCCTAAATATCAAAAGTTACAGACCCTGGTGTACCTCATTTGGAAGTTTATTCCACAGAATAAGGGCCACCACTGAGAAGGCCCAGTTCTCCATTGTCAACTTTTTTTTTTTTTGCCTTTCCCAGTGTGGCCACTTTAAATAATGTGGATTGGGAGAAGCATGTGAAATGGGATGGGGGAGACACTCTGACAAATACCAAGGCCCTAAACCCTTAAGGGCTTTATAGGTCATGATCAGCATCTTGAACTGAACATGGAAACTGACAGGGAGCCAATTCAGGAAGGCCAAGACTGGAAATATATACTCAAATTTGCTAGTCCCAGAAATCCATCTAGCTGCTACATTTTGGACTTGCTGAAGCTTCTGCATTGTTTTAAAGGGTAGCCCTGTGTAGAAAGCATTGCAGTAATCTATTGTTGAGATTGCCAATGTGTTAACTACTGCTATTAGGCTTTTCTTATCCAGGTAGAGACACATGTGGGCAATTGATCAAAGCTGATAAAGGTACTCCTGGCCAGAGCCAATATTTGAGCCAACATAGAGAGAAACAGATTCTCTAGCACCAAAATATCCAGGGTTGTAAGAAAAACTATAGGACCAATCATTCTTCTGAATGAGAAGTACAGGTTTCTGTTAATTCTAGAATTACATTATTTAGAGAAGCTTACAGTATATGCTTGTTTTAAGAAAGAGTTCAGAAGCCAAAACCTGCATGTCCCCTAAGTAGCATAAGGTTAGTATGGATTTTCTACGTTCTACGTTGAATTTGAAAGCTTAGAGAAGTTATTGCAGAAGCTAAAGTGTTAGTATGAGTGCTACTGTTTAGAAACATAACAACAAGTAACATTGTTAGCTAATAATGCATTACAATGGTGCCTCGACTTATGAACTTAATTGGTTCCGGAACTCCGGTCGTAACTCGAAATGGTTGTAAGTCAAAGCACCATTTCCCATGGAAATGCACTGAAATGCAATTAATCCGTTCTGGCCGAAGGAAAAAATCACACACACACCCCCAAAGATCACTGCAAGACCCATTGGAAACGCGATTAATCCGTTCCGGCTGAAGGGGGGGCAAAGAAAAGCAAGCAAAGCATGCAAGACCAATCGGAAATGCAAAAAAAGCACAGCAGAAAGCAAGTGAAGCGTGCAAGACCCATCGGAAATGGGGGGACCCCAAAAAGCAAGCAAACCCTCCAAGACCCATTGGAAATGAAATGGAGGAAAATGCCAAGACCTCCAAAACAAACCACCCAAGACCTATCATGGCACAGAAACATAACCCCCCAGCCCAAAACCATGCTGCAAAACCCACCCAGAACAGTTTTTAAAAAGCAGAAAGCAGTACCTTACCTTACCAGGCAGTCTGAAGCCTCCTCTGATTGCACTCACTCTAACTGTTGAGGCGAAAGAGCTACAAAGAAGCAGCCTCTTCGCCAACCAACGGTTAGTACATTTGAATCCCCTGCCTTTTCCCCCACCTTTTTTCCTGTCGTAACTCGAAGCTCCAGTTGCAAACTCTGAAAAGCTAGTGGCAGTCAGAACTGTCAGTACTGGATTAAGATAGACCAATTGCCTGATCCAGTATAAAGCAGTTTTCTCTGTTCCCTTTGTTCCCACCACCACAAACACACCCTTGTCCCACACTTACATTTTAAATAAAGCTTATACTTGTAGCACATTGACATGTTACTTACCAGCCCTGTTGGTGATATGTAGAATTATTGCTGTCTTGTTACCCATCAGTCATCAGGAAGAATAAGCTTTTATATCTGTGAAGATTCTCAGTTATCCAGTTAAGGTTATCTGGAAGCTGAGTCATGGCAACTGGACTTCTTTCTTACTAGGTTGAAACGTTTAACTACTTATTCAAGTGGCTTCTTCAGTCTGAGGAAAGTTGGTAGGAGATCCCTGATATATCCTCCAGGTTGGTTTCACTCCCTCCTGGTCTGAACAAGCTCATTAGAGTGAGGGATCTCTATATGCACATATATGGCCTCCCTGATCCCTCAAACCACCTATCTTCTTAGTATTCAGTCCAAAGGGAAGTGAAACCAACATGGAAGATATGTCAGGGATCTCTAACCAACTCTCCTCAGACTGAAGAAGCAACCTGAATGAGTAGAGAAACATTTCTATCTAGAACCCTTCTGATGGATATAGTACCTATCCTTCCATCATGATGGAGATGATGGGAGTTGTGGTTAAACTTACTAGAAGGCATCAGGTTGGGAACGGTAGCCTTAGAACAACTGGAAAACTTTTCATATGTTTTGTTCAGTGCCTGTTTGTTTCCTTTGATAAGAAAATAATGTCTGTAACTGCCACCTCAGTCACCCAGGTTGGGGTGGCAGGGTGGCCAGAAGGGTCTCCTCAACTATAGGCTCCATGAACGTCAGACTCCTTTTGCAACTTGAACTGGTCTTTATTAGGGTAGGAAAAAAGTACAAAGGTTCATTGGGCACTTTGTTATCCCCATCCTGACAGACTGCAGGGGGGCTTAGTTAACGCCACTAGCCCATTGTTGCCTTTAGTTCCCACTGGGCCTTAGTTCCAGTCACTTGACTGGCATTATCTGTTTGTGGCTAGGGGTCTAGTTCTCCAACCTGACTTGAGCCAGCTGTCACCCTTTAAGAAGGGCTGGAAATGTTGGGCCATTAAGGGTCCCTGAATCCCCCAAGTTAATTCTGTTTCTTGAGGTTTCTATTGCTTTTTTTTTTGTCTTGGGCTGGGGCACATCAGGCCCTCCTGTCTTCCACTGCCTCCTGGAGTTGGGTCAAATTCTTGTTGGTAGCTTCCGTGACACTGTCCAACCATCTCATCCTCTGTCGTCCCCTTCTCCTCTTGCCTTCACACTTTCCCAACATCAGGGTCTTTTCCAGGGAGTCTTCTATTCTCATGAGATGGCCGAAAAATTGGAGCCTCAGATTCAGGTGCTGTCATTCCAGTGAGCACTCAGGGTTGATTTCCTTCATAATCGATAGGTTTGTTCTCCTTGCCATCCAGGGGCCTCTCAAGAACCTCCTCCAGCACCACAATTCAAAAGCATCAATTCTTCAGCGGTCAGCCTTCTTTATGGACCTACTCTCACTTCCATACATTGCTACTGGAAAAACCATAGCTTTGACTATGTGGACCTCTGTCAGCAAGGTAATGTCTCTGCTTTTTAAGATGCTGTCTAGGTTTGTCATCGCTTTCCTCCCAAGAAACAGACGTCTTTTAATTTTGGGGCTGCTATCACCATCTGCAGTGATCATGGAGCCCAAGAGGTTAAAATAGGTCACTGCCTCCGTATCATTCCCTCCCATTTGCCAGGAAATGATGGGACCAGTGGCCATGATCTTAGGTTTTTTTATGTTGAGCTTCAGACCATTATTTGCACTCTCGTCTTTCACCCTCATTAAGAGGTTCTTTAATTCTTCCTCACTTTTTGCCATCAGAGTGGTATCATCTGCATATCTGAGGTTGTTGATATTTCTTCTGGCAATCTTAATTCCATTTTGGGATTCTTCCAGTCCAGCCTTTCTCATGATGTATTCTGCATATAAATAAGCAGAGGGACAATATACAGCCTTGTCGTACTCCTTTCCCAATTTTGAACCAATCAGTTATTCCATATCCAGTTCTAACTGTTGCTTCCTTTCCCACATACAGATTTCTCAGGAGATAGATAAGGGTGGTCAGGCACTCCCATTTCTTTAAGAACTTGCCATAGTTTTTTTGTGGTCCACACAGTCAAAGGCTTTTGCATAGTCAATGAAGCAGAAGGAGATGTTTTTCTTGAACTCTCTGGCTTTCTCCATAATCCAGTGCATGTTAGCAATTTGGTCTCGAGTTCCTCTGCCCCTTCAAAATCCAGCTTGTACTTCTGGGAGTTCTTGGTCTACATACTGCTGAAGCCTACCTTGGAAGATTTTGAGCATAACCTTGCTAGTGTATGAAATCAGTGCAAAAGTACAGTGCTTTAAAGATTAAGAGGTTTAGAAGCACACTGCTTATTTCTGAAGATGCAGATTTTGGTCCATAAAATTTCACACTGAAATACATGTATTACTCTTTGAAGTGCCCCGGTATTTTGCCTCCACCCACCATTTGTTTTTCCCCAACATGCTGTGTCAGACTCAGACACAGGTAATTCTTTGGCTATTGTGCTCCCACAGTTAAGGAATCTGCTTTTCTGATCTTGGATTATTATCTGTAGTTTTAAGTGTTTGTCCTTGGAAGAGGGGAGGGTACAAAGTATAGATTTGACTTGAATCCATGTGTTTAAATAATTGAACAAAAGCAGACTTAATGTGAGTATGGGATTCTCAGCATAAGAAAGAGTTGCTTGGCTATTACAAGAGAAAAATTACGCAAGTTCCTTTTCATTAGCCATACTGTTACCTGGCATCTGTTCTTACAATAAAAATTGTCTTTGTTTTGAGTGAGCAAGAGTTTGTAAGAGATGTCGAGTGCTGGGACACATGGTCTCATACTGCAGGATTTGCTCTCCTTATAAAACAGGTGAATTTAAATTATTTTATACTGACCATATGATGCAATAGCTGTTCAAATTGATTCAACCTCTTTTGCTACCAAAATAGTTTTTTTTCTTCTGCCACTAGAGGGGGCTTCCACTTTTTCAAGGCGGAAGGAGGTAGCCCCGTGTACTTGTGATACATTTATGTAAACACAGTAGGCATGTCTGTAGCTGGTGTTTCAATGATCTAAGTCATCCTCCAATTTAAAAAAATGTTATGTATGTGATATTAGCACCAGATCACTAGATCACTTTATTCCAATGTCACCTTATTGCTGGGTTGTCATTATTACTGTACATATTTATGCCCCCATCAGTTCCACATCAAATTGGCAGAGGCAGGGCCAGAAGGAAGGAAGGATCAGCAGAGGTAGGACCAGAGATATAGCCATATATGTTAGGAAATTATCCGTTCCTGCTCAAACTATTGCATTTCTAACTCCTACCATTCAAATTTTCCCCCCAGGACAAATAAACAAAAGAGGCTATAGGGGAACCAATTCTGAAATGCAATTAATGTGGTTATTTAGGAAATTATAGAGTCTGCTCCAACTCTGGGCCTACTTGTTATTAGCTTTTAGCCATTCTTGTTCAGAAGCATCAGCTGGACTCTTCTTTCCAGCCACTACAAGCTGAATTATTCCCTGGATGGGGAGAAACAAGTCAGGGCTAAAGAAAGCATTTGGGATCTGGGAGACAAGAGAGAAGGCACCGTGACACAAGTGAACCCATGGGATAGTAATAAGTAATACAGACAGACAGAGGAAAGGAAAAGATGAAGAGTCTGACACAAATGGCATGTGGTGTTGAATTCATGTCAGTTTTGTTTTAGTTTCTTTTTTTCAGAAAAAAAGAGACATAGCTAATGACCTCACTACATAGGCTAAACATTGGTGAGTATTCATTTTGTTTTTAAAAAATCCTAAAAACCAGTTGCAACATCAGCACTAAATTGTGCAGAGGGGAGATTCTCTCCCAGTGGAAATCTCATGACTCTTCTCCTCTTGTATGTGGCAATTAACATTAGGGGAAAAAAAACCTCACATCCCATAATTGTGAGGCTTTGGTATTTGGCACCTGGGGAAAGAACATATTTTAGTGCCAAGTCCAAACTCTGTATTTTATAACATGTACAAGTAAAGCTAAATAACTGACATGCAATGATAAAGAAGTACTGTACATGTAATTTGAAATTTTATTATGCAACAATAAATACAGTACATGAAAATTCATTTATAGATATAATGAAGATATAAGAGAATTAATAGTGATAGAAAAAAAATATTTCTATTAAATGCAGAAGTGTAAATAGAACAAAAAAACCCTCCTTGTAAATACTTGTATAATACAGAAAATCAGGAACTAAAACCCACACATTTATAAAAAAAATCCTGCAGGTGGAGCATTAGGCCTCAGATCCTATATGGCACTAGTGGAACATAACATTCTGATGGCAGAGTAATACTAGATCTTACCCTTGTACAACCATCACCCTTCGACAATTGGAGAGCTGTGCTATGGCTGCCCAAGATACACTTGCACAAGATGGTCCTGGATACCTCCCTGCACAAGCTTATTAGATGTCAAACTGCTTGCATGAGTAATTTGATCTAAACAAAATCCTGTCCAAATACTGTGCATTAATTTTCCAGGTGTAATCCAAACTTTGACACTAGCAAGATAATTGATTGGTCAAAATTTATTTTTCTGGTGAACTTGTTATTTCTTTGTTGATATATATAAGGTGCCACTCTGTATGATCACTCTGAACTGTGATGATCTGCGAAATGTCCATATCCTACTTGATAGTACTTTCAGTTCCAGAAGAGAACATACAGAGCTTGGGATATTTATTCCCAGCAATGCAAAGGGCTGTTCTGGCTGAGAGATTCTGGCAGTTGTAGTCCAAAATTTTCCACAATACCAAATTCAGCCATTTCCCCCCAAGTTCTTGGAGCTGTGCTACAAACCTTTTCCAAGTTCTGATAACTTTTTTTCAAACTCTGAGAATTCTAGTTTATTTTCTCCCCAAGCTTTAAGAATTTGTTTTCAAGCTTTCTCCAGTCTAATTTTTTTCCAGGCCCAAGGAACTGACATAAAGGCGAGGGGAATCCAGCTACAGTACTAGCATGAGCTCAGTGGTAGAGTAGAGCACATACAGAAAGTCTCATATTGAGTCCTCTCAAGGAAGTACAGAGGAAACAGCCATCTGAAACTGTAGAAAGCTGCTGTCAACTCACAAGAATCATAGTGAGCTAAAAGGACCAATGATTTGATATAGTATAAGGTACTGCAAGCATGGTTGAATATAAGGCAGCTGTTCATATAATCAAGAATCAAAAAACATACTGTACTGTACATTTGATGGGCACATTGTCAATTTATAATAAGTTTACTTTGAATATTCAAGTGAATTTAGAGCATTATGGGTTGATACAGGGAAGACAGAATATAACAATTTATGTTTTTTAAAAGGCAGATTAGTAGTTGCATCTTTTTGTGGGTTCCTCTCTGAGTTTCATGCTGAATACTCATCATACAGGCTTACTTCTCCTTCTTCTTTTGACATTTCAATAAGCTGCAGTGGAAGAAACAGAAGTAACGTGAATTACCAGGCAGCAAAACAGAAAAGAAAAGGTAAATCTACACATCAAATGTATTACCAGTTGCATTTTAAAATGAAAATAGTTTAAAACACTTTAGTTAGTGTATGATTAAGGCAAAGATTTACAATTTTCCTAAGAAAATGTTCTGCTTTCCTAAGAGTAAATAGAAAAATAGCAAACTATTATGAAGATGAAAATTAAGATGCTGCATTTTTAATATATCATAATGCTTTGCATTAGTACAGGTATACACAGTCAAAGTCTTTCAATTTACGACTATGAGTCTACAGTACTCTTGGTAGAAACTAATGATAAAAAGACACAATGAGTGACATGGATTGTTAATAAACTAATGGAATAATAACAAATTTCTATAATTTACAAGAACATCATGGCTTCCCTCTGGACTGATATCATGATGATGCCACTCAGCCCAACTCTAACACACTAACTGCTTTGATTTTGTTTGTTTCTTTATCTTGCATATAAAACTTGCACCATTTTCTAGTACAAGAGAAGCAGCTGTGCCATTTAGGAAGGGTGACAGCCATTCCCTGCCCCCAGGCTAAAAATTACATGTTATTTTTTGTTATTTTTTGTTAGATGGATATGTTTTTATCAAGAGTACCAGACTATTCATTTCTCACTGCTTCTCCATGCTGATCAATTTGTATGAATAAATTAATTAGATATTTAGTGGGTATATGCATATTGAACATACAAGTATCTTTAAAAACAAAAAGTAGAATAATTTGTTTACTTAAAACATTTTTATCATTTTTAATACAGTTTTAACAAAACTGACAGAAATCAAATGCATAGTATTTATTGATTAAAAATATTTTAAACTGCTCTTCATCCTGGCAAATACCAGGGTAATGTACAACAAACATAACCCAACAAGTGACAGAAAAATATAATACAGGCTGACCAATGTGACTTCACTTAAAATGTGCAGATGTATATATATAAATAATCCTGAAAGGATTTCAAAGTTGGTACCAGCTTTACCGATGTACCCAGTGAGGTGTAGTAGACAGAGTGACAGGCTAGGACTCTGGAAACCAGGGATTTAATCCCCACTTGACCATGGAAATTCACTGGGGGAGTTAGATTAGATTAGGCATCCTTCCGTCTCAAGAGACTATGGTAACATGCTCTGAATAGAGGACTTGGAACAGTGTGGCTGAGAAGACTAATTTGAGAGTGACAATCCCTTCCACACTGAAGACAAATACAATCTGTCCCCTGTCCAGCTCCATGATTTAACTGCTTTCGTGACTGCCCCTTTGCCTCGGCCTGCTGGAAAAGGGTCTGTTCAAATTGGGAGAAGCCATGATGCACCGCTTGCCTCCAGGCTGAACGCTCAGATGTCAGGGTTTCCCATCTGTTGAGGTCTATTCCTAAGGCCTTCAAATCTCGCTTGCAGATATCCTTGTATTGCAGCTGTGATCTCCCTCTGGGGCGACTTCCCTGCACTAATTCTCCATACAGGAGATCTTTTGGAATCCGACCATCAGCCATTCACACAACATGCACGAGCCAACGTAGACGTTGCTATTTCAATAATGTATACATGCTGAAAATTCCAGCTCATTGTATGACTACTCTATTTGGAACTTTGTCCTCCCAGGTGATACCAAAAATGCGTTAGAGACAACGCATATGAAAGCATTCAGCTTCCTCCCCTGCCATGCACAAAGGGTCCAGGACTCAACTGCAGTACAGGAGTGTACTCAGGACACAGGCTCTATAGTCCTGGATCTTGGTATATGCCATCAGCTTCTTATTAAGCCATACTCTTTTTGTAAGTCTAGAGATCATGGTAGCTGCTTTGCCAATGTGTTTATCCAGCTCGACATCTAGGGAGAGTGTCAAAATTGTTGAGCCAAGGTACAGAAAGTCATGAACAACCTCCAATTCTTGTGTGGAGATGGTAATAGAAGGAGGTGAGTCCACGCCCTGGCCAATGACTTGTATTTTCTTCAGGCTGATTGTTAATCCAAAGTCTTGGCAGGCCTTGCTAAAATGATTCATGAGTTGTTGGAGGTCTTCAGCAGACTGGGGTACAACAGCTGCATCATCGGCGAAGAGGAAGTCCTGCATGCATTTCAGCTGGACTTTGGTCTTCGCTCTCAATCTAAAGAGATTTTCCATCTGATCTAATCCGGAGATAGTCACCTTCTGCTGCAGTTCCAAAGCCATGCTTCAGCATGACAGCAAAAAAGATCCTAAACAGGGTTGGCACAAGGACACAGCCCTGTTTCACTCTGCTTCAGATGTCAAAGGGATCTGATGTTGAGCCATGAAAAACTATAGTGCCCTTCATTTCCTCATGAAAGGACCTCATGATGTTAAGGAATCGAGGTGAACGTCCTTACCTTAGTATTGCTGTAAGTCCATTCCAACTTGACAGAATGTAATTAATTAATCAACGGTGCCTTTACAGAGAGGTTATTGCACAAATGAGATAGTACCACAGAGAACCCTCTTTCCATACACTTGGTGGGAATAGAAAGAAGACCTTCTCTGTGGCTATTCACAGAGGAGATGTGGTTGCCCTTCCTTAGGAGGCTAAATTGGCTCCCTTCTGGTAATAGGTGAGGACAGTGCTTTTTCATCAGGCTTTTAACAACTAAGGGTGTAATTGTTGTTGCTGTTTAGTCATTAAGTCGTGTCCGACTCTTCGTGACCCCGTAGACCACAGCACGCCAGGCCCTCCTGTCTTCCACTGCCTCCTGGAGATTGGGCAAATCTCCAAATTTTTCCTAAAATAATTGGAGGAAAAAACGAAGGTCATTTTATACACAGAAGTAAGGGGGGGAAGGAACCAAAGTGCTTTGATCCCTGCTTTCCCCTTCCACTCTTTGCAAAGAAAGTGGAGGGGGAAAGCACTTTCCTCGCAAGAAAATGGAGGGGAAAAGCCAAAAAGCTGCTTTCCCCCTTGCAAAAAGTGGAGGGGGAAAGCAGGGGAAGTGCTTTCCCTCTCATTTTCTTTGAAAAAAGCTTCCCCCCTCACAAAAAGTGTGGGGGGGGGAACTGCTTTCCCCCTCCATTTTCTTTGCAAAAAGCTGCTTTCCCCCTTGCAAAAAGTGGAGGGGGGAAGCAGGGGAAGTGCTTTCCCTCTCATTTTCTTTGAAAAAAGCTTTCCCCCTCGCAAAAAGTGGGGGGGGGACTGCTTTCCCCCTCCACCTCCTTTGCAAAAAAACTTTTCCCCCTCCACTTTTTGCAAGGGGAAAGCAGCTTTTTGTAAAGAAAGAAATTTTGGGTTAGAGGGGTGAGTGGTGTCTTATACATAGGGGGTGCCTTATACACAGAAAAATACGGTGCTTAGGATGGCTTGAGGAAGATCCAAACATTCTGCATCAAAAGCTCTTGGATTGTTAGAGAAAGGCAATTCCATGTGAAAAGAAAATGGAATCCCCTCACTCCAGCAACATCAATTGTGGAATATGACAATGATGTATAGATATATTTTGCTTTTCAGATAATTTTGTACATTTGTAAATGGTTTATGAGTCACCTAGGAACTAAATGTGTGTTTCTTTATGTGCGTGTGAAATTAGGATTATATTCCATCTCCATTCAGGAACTGATCCACTGACTAGAGCAAAAATGGGTGACCTGCAGCTCTTGGCTTCATTTCAATCTCTGCAAGCTATCAGTCAGGCAGAGGCTGAAGAACCATCTGCCCTTTCTCCAGCAGGAGCCACTAAGATGAAAAGAAGACCAGGATGCAGAGAGAGGACCAAAAAAAGCATCTATTGACCCTGTCCTGTGCTGGCTTCAGCACCACCCACTTTTGCTACTTGGCCTCTTAACAGATTATCTGTACAGAATGAAGACCTCAAAATAAAAAAAAGGTTGGCCTCTCCTCCAATAAGGCAAGCCCATCACCAATATATGCTTCAAAACTGGATTTCAGTCTCATTACAACAGTTATCAATTTAATTCATGCATATTAGAGATTTACAGCTTTTTTACAGCTTTGAGAAGACTGATATTTCAATCTAAGTTATCTTCTCTTTATTTGAATGTTACAAAGCTGAACATTTCCTCCAACAGTATTAAAGGAAGTTGGTAATTTCATTTCACAGATCAGCTGATCCACTTCTGTTCTTGTTTCAATTGAGATTTTTTTTAAAATAGGGTGACTCATTACAATTAACTTGAAACATAACTGAATCCAATAAAAAATTCCCAAGCAAACTACACCAGAGCACAGAGTACTGTCCTCTGAAGATGCCGGCCACAGAGACTGGTGAAACGTTAGGAAGAACAACCTTCAGAACACAGCCAAAGAGCCCGAAAAACCCACAAGAACCAATAAAAATTCCCTGGCTTTTCCATCTGTATATTATACACTGCATCTTGAAAACACTGAAGTCGGGAAAAATATGGGCTGGAATCTATTATCCAAACTTCTCTCTTAATAGTTAGAATGTTCATGAATATCCTGTGACATTGTGGCATTCAACCACTAAACTACCAGACAGAAAAAAAATGAAACTCTTTGGTAGTTTTAACTAATAGCTCAGTAAGATGGGCACCTGGCTGCAGATCTAGACGTCAAAGGTTTGAATCTTACAGGATTTTTTAGCATTTATCCTGCATAGTTTTGGGCAAGCTGCACAATTCCAGAGTGCCCCAAGAAGAAGGGAATGTTATACCACATCTGAGTGCTCTGTAGATTAAAAACCCTGCAGAGGGTCATTATAACGCAGAATCAACTTGAAGGCATGTTGCTGTTATTTCTGTAGCTTTTCAACTGGGAAAAGGCTACATGTTTTGTTCCTGCCTTTACATCATAACAAATCCTGCTCTTTAAAGGAAAATGGATTGGTATTAATGGAAGCAGATATCAAAAACACAAAATGTAATAATGATAAGATGGCATGAGAGATGTCAGGGAAAAGGATGGTTTTATTGAAAGGACCGAGAGATGTAGATCACCTCTTTTCTTGTACAGAATAGCTGACTTAAAAGAGATGATTTTGTTTTCATTTATTTATATTTTATATTATATAAATCTGACTATATAAAAAGCATTTTTAATCTCTCAAAACACAAGACAAACTTAAGGCAGCTTGTAACCTAAAAGTAGCTGAAGTGACTGTACTTTGGCAATGAATATGCAATGAAAAATTGTGCTGCTTTACATATACAGCTATATCAAAAGGCAGATGCTTTTAATGAAAATGTTCTGGTAGCACAAAGAAGCGCTAGGGGCAAATCTAGATGGGGAAATTTGGAGTAGTCTGAATTTCTGCTTATAAGGTTCTTATATGTTGGGCAATCTATTTTTATCTCTCACTTGAGCATCCTTCCATTCACACTGTCAATGTTCCTTCGCCTGTGAGAAGAGTCCAAACAGGTCTTTGGATCACCCTGATTTGTCCCTCTTTCCATAAATGTTGCTCCCCTTCCCAGCCACTTCTCTGACTTTTCCTATGGCTATCATTCAGTGGCCATGGCGACTTTCCTTCTTCTTCTTTTATTAAATTAAGTGACATAGTGCAGCAACAATGCATCTACCTAGCATGGTATAGATAATACTGTACTACTGCCAATGTATCTCATTTATTTAAAATAGCGCTGCATCAATAGGACAAAATAGTTTTTAAAAATTTAATGGTAGATAAAAATTGGGGGGTTTCCTCCATTGTCTCTTTCAATATGGTAACCCACCAAATATGTCACAGGGTTGTCACCTCTTATAACACCATCACAGCTCCATTTGAGTGTGAACTAACCAGCACAGACTACACAACAGGATAATTAGAAGCATGTCAAATCATGCCAAAAAACCAGAACCCCTAGCTCTTGGCCAGAAAGGAGCATTGCAGTTCTAAAAAGAGGCAGAATGGATTGCTCTAAGTCAAAACATGTCTGGACACCATAATTTGATTTGAACCAAACTGCACCAAAAGCCATCCAAAGAGTTACTGATATGCCAATCTGGATGTGCTCTTAATTAATTTTTTTAATGGGAGAGAGAATAGGAAAATTGTTCTGAAAGAGAGGAAAAAAGTTTGCCTACCGAATTGTAAATCCTTCCTGAAGACTGCCATTAGTAGTATTACTCTAGAATAATATTAATACTCTGACTTCATATCATTGTAACATCATCTTGATTATTAACTGCATCATGCAATTGCATTCCCTGAAATTAAAGGATTTATATCCCACCATTCCACTGCAACAATATTATTCAGAGTAGCTTGTGACAACTATTAGAAAAATCAATACAGACAGAAGCCATTTACCTGGTTTTGATCATGTGCAAATTTATGTCTGATCTTCTGGATGAAATAAAATATTATCCATGCTGAAGAAATTAGTGCCAGAATTATAAATGGTATTGCTACGAAGACAAGAGAACTGCTACGATCAAAGTAGCTACTATGACTGAAGTGTTTGCTTTCGAAATGGCTTCCAACTTTTATTGATATTAAAAGTGTCATATTCTTTTCTAAGTAATTCAAGATCTCCTTTGCCTTCTGTTGACTGATCATGACAGTGACTATATCTCCAGTTCCTTGATGAGTCATAGTGACATGATCCTGGTGGGTTTCGTTGTTGTAAATTACTACAGCAGAAACATTCTGAGAAGCTGCCCGCAGTACCTTTTGTCTGAAAGTGCAGTTTCCTCTCTCCAGCAGAGCTATCCAGTGGGTGATGTTTGGAGGAATGTGAAACCGTGTTCGTGCATCACATCCTAAACGATTTGTCACTCCATTGATTGGCAGAGGCTCTAGAAGCAGGCCTGTGACAGCTCTTTTGGGTGATTCTTGTCCATAACGTCCATGTTCAAGGTTTATGGAAACAGAAGAATTAGGATGAATTACAGTCACGTTCAGGAGAGCAGTAAAATACGGTGGATTAACTGCACTAGCAAGGAAAGCAGAACAGTTCAACAGGTCCAAAACAGGTATAGAGGATAAAAAGATCCAGGAAGGCAAAATCCATTTTAGGATCATGTTTGTCCTTTTTAAAAAAAATGTTTATTGCCTTCAAAAATTATTCCGAATAAATTATTTATGTTCATCCTGTTCAAGAATACACATTAGTCCATCCCGGCATCAGAAAGGATTGTTATCATTTTAAAAAGAAAGATGTATTAGGCGATTGGCTTCTTCCATCCATTCTGTCACTTAAGACTGTTGAGGAAGCTTAAGATGATATTTGAGAAGGGAAGCAAGCCTCTCTACATAAAAGATGAGAGAGAAAAATGCATCTATAAGCCAAGCAACAGAGCAGCTAAAAGACGACGGGTCACAGTTTCTCTGGCTGGGGAGAAGAGGCACTCTTGCATCCCAATAGAAGTTGAAGGAGAACTTCAAGAGGCCAAGCCGACTTTTCTTCCAGATTTCTAATGCCAGGGCGCTGCTCTGGGCGCCCCTGCCCGCTTCTCGTGGAGTCCTCCCAAAACTTCAAAGACGAAAAGACTCAAGAAGCCGGGCAGGCAAAAAAAGAAAAGAAAAGAAAAAAGGAACGCAAACAGAGGCGGCAGCAGCGGTGGCGGCGAGCATTTGGGTTTAGCTTTGATTTCTCCGGGGGCCGCCAAGAGGCAGACGCTACCAACAGGCGGGCGGGCGGGCGAGTGGATTTCTGAGGGGAGGGAAAGGGCGGGCTATCGGCGTCGTGCCTCTCTCTCTCTCTCTCTCTCTCCTCGAGGCCCACGCACGGCAAGAGCCGCCAAGCGCTCATGTTTCTCCTGTGACTCATGGAGGGTGGCGGTTTGGTGCCGCTGTTTTGATCGCGCCGGAGGCCTCGCAGCGGGCAGCCGCAACTCTCAGGCTTGCTGCTCGGGTCCCCAAGCGGAGCCCCAGCTTCGCAGGCAGCCCTCGCAGCCCTTCCTCAGGCCCCGGGGCGGGGGGGAGCCACTGAGGCGGAGGCAGGAGCAGGACGAAGGTGCTGTGGACCCTCCGGCCGCCTCGTGCCCGCTCTCCCTTGGCTTGCGGTGGCCTTTGTGGTCTCTCAGCAAGAATCCTGGTTTTAGTTCAGTTGGAGTTAGGTGGAAGGAGAGAAGACCCTCCTCCAGATAACCTCGCCTCAACTTGTGTAGGCGTTTAAACGCTAATAAATAAAAATAGGGTGCTCCCGAGTGAATTGGGATTTGTGGCAACCCTTTCCAGGGTTTCCTAAATACTACAGAGTACTCAGAAGCGGTTTACCTCTCTCTCTCTTTTAGGGGGTGCTCACACTGTGTAACTTGTCCAAGGCTACCTCTTCTCATTCAAGGCCTGGTGTGGAATCAAACTCCAAACCGCTGGTGCTCCAACTCACTGAGCTATAATAATCATGTGCCACCAAGTCAATTCTGACAATTCAGTAGGCAAAAAAGTTTGCCTACTGAATTGTAAATCCTTTTCAGGGTTTCCTAGGCAGAGAGTCCCCAGAAATGGTTTATAATTCTCTTCTTCTGGAGGCACCCTGGGACTGTGAAGCATGCCCAAGGCCACACAGGCTGGCTCTTATCACAGGAGGCAGAGTGAGGAATTGAACTCCCACCTTCTGGCTTTGCAGCCAGATACCTAGACCACTGAGCTATAAAGCCAGGCAAATGTTAGTACCAATAGTAAGAATTGGTCATTGTGGGTGCCAAGGGAGATGAGGAAGACAGACCTACTGCATTCTGTGGACCTTACTGGGTGACAAACCAGTGAGAGTTTCATATTATATCAGGATGAGGTGATATCTGGCTCTTCTGAACTCTAATTCCCATCAGCCTCAACTATTCTGACCAGTGGTGGGGCATGATGGGAATAGCTATTCATCAACATGTGCAGCACCATGTGGTCTTCACTGCTGATGTAAAGTACTCTTTCTAACAGCAAACCACAAATTCTTTGGAGACTCAATGTAGTGTAGTGGATGGAGTGTTGAACTAAGACCCAGAGTCCAGGAGTCTGCTCTACTATAGGAACTCACTGGAAGGTGGCCATGGTAAACTATTCCTTGAACATCTTACATAACTCAAAATCCTATTGGATTTGCCGTAAATCAGAAGCAGTTCATCTGGCTTCCTCCACCAAATCTACATACTTCCAAACATTTGCAAAAACCTAGAAGTGTGGTGTTAAAAATAATAGTATCAGCTATATCCAGTGCCTCTTGCATTAAAAGAAAAATACTGCATGTAAATTCAGATTTCAAACTGTGAGTTCCTGTGACCTTAATCTGTGAGGCAATATTTTTCAATAGACCCGGGGGGAAATTAAGGACAAAGTCAAGAGGTGTAGGTCTCCACTACTAAGTCTCCAAGCAGGAAAAAATCAGCACCATAATATTAAACTGTTGAAAGATAACAGGATCTGTGTCGGGAAAATGCTGGAAATCTTCTGAATAAAGTACACAACACATACCCTCATGTATATTTCTCAGCACACATTTCTCTGTCATCTCTTTTTACTCACACAGCTTCAGTCTGGCTTCTGCCTAAGCTTCTTATCTCTCAGACCATTTTTCTCACCTGTGGTCTGCAATTTTCATAATTTATATAGCTTTCTTTCACCCAACAGTACAAATGTTTCACTTTGCAAAAATATCACTGTCTCTGATCTCTCTATTTCTGACCTGTCTTCCATTATCACTGGAACAGAATGAGAGAGTGATGTAAGAGACTTCCATCATAACAATTCAGCCAGTGGCTTCTGTAAGGTCTTTTGAGGTAATCTCCAGAAGTATCATTCTCAGGATGACTATATTTTGTTTGCAATGTTGTTTTTATCCTTTGTTGTGTAAATAGTTAAAAAACTTCTATATTCTAGAAATGTTTTTTAACCATATACATAACAAAGGGTAAAAACAACATTGTACGTAATATATAACTATCCTGAGAATGATACTTCTGAGGACTACAACTCCCCGCATCCCTCAGTAGAAATGGCTTCTGGCTGGTAGATTCTGAAGGTTGTAGTAAAAATGCAAGTTCTGATCCTCTTTGTGTACTTTGTTGTACAGGTATTTCTCAACAGACTGGATAAAAATAGTTCACATATATACTTGATGCTATTTTAAATATAGTGCTTTTTTTTAAGGACAAGAATTATATTTTCCAACTGTGGAGTCACTCAATCAAAGTCAAGGAAACAATACTGACTTAACACAAACATTTGTAATTGTGAAAGCAGGCTTTTATTTTATTCATTTCATCTTTGTTGGTGCTTTGAGTATATTAATAATCAAGACTGTGAGACAACACTCCAGAATGAAGAAAGAAGTCAGATACTTCCTCCTCTGTCATCACCTTCTTTGTTCCTCTTTATTTTGTTGCTTTGGGAAATACTCAACTATCCAACAAACAGCAACAGAGCATGGACTGAGTTCCTACTCCAGTCCTCTGAAGATGCCAGCCACAGAGACTGGCAAAATGTCAGGAAGAACAACCTTCAGAACACAGCCAAAGAGCCCGAAAAACCCTGTCAAGAGGAACCTTTACCTTTAACAAAGAACTGCAGAAGAAGATATGCAGGAAAAGTCGTCAATGTAGTAATTACATGGTAAACAATAGAGACAACCCACCACAGCTTCAAATGACAGAAAATGGACAGACCACTTCTCAGCACACTACAAAGGTGCCTTAAAGGCAGTGAGTAATACAAGGTCAGTTATTCCATATACTGTGGTTTTTTAATAACATATCTGAATTAGAAGCCTTGGAAAAACGCAGACTAAATCAAACAGCAAGCCTAGCGTGACTCACTCAACTGCACATACCAACCTTTTAATTTTTTATTTTTATTTTTAGCCAGATTTAGAATCCCGGAGATGAATATATTGGGTGCAACCTCTTTATTCTGAACAATATCTAAAGGGTTAAACAAGAAAAGGCTGAGTACCACTTGTTACAATAAATTGTATATTTATCAGAAGCAGCCCATGGTTTGGAAGATTGTTTTACTCCAAAATGTTAAAGCGAGGCGTCCCTGCTGCCATCCTGATACTGACAACTTCGCCTCACTTACTCTGAAGCATGAACAGAAAATCTGTAAGGTTGGTGGAAAAAGAAAATAACACACAAAGGCACTTTTCCTCATCCTAATTATTAGCCATGAGGCAATATCAAGACTTCTCTAACTGGAAGAATAACTTTAGATGTTTTGTAGGAACCATTTTTCACACCATAGCAACCTGGGGAGCTAAGTTCCTTCCTGCTACAGCGTCAACAGGAGATACCATCTCTCTCTTGATACAGTACTTCTTTGTATCCCTTTCCACTCCTAGCATGTTGCTTTATTCGTCCTATTGAGACAGAATCTGCAGTGGCTGTTCCTTTGCCTATAGTACAGTATTCCCTTTTTCCACAATTTCTTTTGTCAAACCCTGCTTCCACATCCAGTTACTGTATATGTTTTTAAACGTGTACATAAAATTTCAAATTCATTTTTCTGTACTGTTTTCATTGAGATAATAACAATCTTGCATGCACTAAGACTGGGTAACAGTGGGAAGGGGCTATTCACACACTAAGTTGATTGCCCTCTGCCACGAACCTGTTGCTAAAGTTCTTTCTCCACCTCTGGTTTGCCCTTCCCCTCCTCCTATTTGTTTGCTTCACTTTTTTGTTTGTTAGTCTCTCTGTCTTCTCTCCTGACCTCCAAGCATGCAAGGAGCATGGAAATGTCTCTCGCACTTGTGAAGGCTCAAATTTTCCTGTTGTTCTACTGACTGTAACTATAGACAGCAAATGTAAATAAGATGCATATCCCCCCTTATAATGCTTCCAGAGTGATGAAAAGGGGTGGGTATTGAGAATTAAGCTATTCTCTCTCACTTTTTCTGTGCCACTGTTTATAATAGCTGATACTCTGCTGACTATAAGAAGAACTAACCAAATTCTTCAGTAAAGTAAAGGTTCCCTTGACATTTTTAGTCCAGTCGTGGCCAACTCTAGGGGGCGGTGCTCATCCCATTTTCAAGCCGTAGAACCAGCGCTTGCCCGAAGACAGTTTCCATTGCCACATGGCCAGTGTGAGTAGGGAACGCTGTTTTACCTTCCCACTGAGGTGGTACCTATTTATCTGCTTGCATTTGCATGCTTTTGGCTAATGTGCCGTCTGCTGCACTGGTGGGCATCAGCTACTGCTATAGAGTGTTGGAAGTTCTCCTTGTGTATGTATATTGATAAATAATTTAACTAATATATGTATTTTGGATCTTTTTAATAAGTGAACTGTGTCACAAACTTTGAAGTTTGCTAAAAGGAATGATAACTGCTTTCCAGTCTATACATTAGTTCAGGAACTGCAGATTAGGGCACTTCCTATGCCCATACAAGGTGAAATAGTTCACACATGACTAGCCTTAGGTCATTGTGACCATGGTCAGACTGTTCACAACAGTGTCAGCAGGTTAATTTTATTTATTTAGTATTAAATTTCTACCCCACAGATCTAGACCGAAGTCTACTCTGGGTGGCTAACAATAATAGATATAATAAAAACAATAAAATAAAAAGGTGAGTCTCCTGCAAGCCAAGACTTGGTGGAAAATATTTATATGTCATGAAGGTAAGGATATAGGTGATATTGACCCTAACATGGGGAGGAGCAAGCACTATAAAATGCTGGACATATTTTAATACTTGCCTTCTGATTGCTCTCCCTTCGATCTCCTCCCATTACTCCATGTTTTTTTGTAACACTAACACTGTGCAAGCACAATACACATGCTGACATCTTTGTGCTGAGGCAGTGAGCTCTTGTGCCACCTGGCAGTAGGCACAGATGAGTGTTCAATCTTTAAAGCCATTTCACACATAATATATAT